GATGAGGAAATAAGAGAAATTTGTGACCAGAGTTGAGAAGGACAAAATAAGACATGGTAGTTGCCTTCTGTGTAACATTACAGGTTAAACACCATAAATACACTGGAACCGCAGAAATTCCAGAATATAGAAAGCTGAGAATATGGAGATAAAGAAATGGAGGATTAGAGACAAAAATCAGAAATAGGAAGCCTTAACCAGTAAAGCCACAGAGCACTTGAGAGCACGTGGCAGTCAACAAGCCATCTTCTGCAGGTACCGCCTCGCGATTATGGAGAGAACTGGGAAGAGCAACAAACAGAAAAACGCAATCAAATCTAGGCATGTGATCTACCTCACCCATTAAGCACCCTTTTTGTGCCATTTAACTCCTGTTTATTTTTTTTTTAAAGATTTATTTATTCATACATACAAGACTGGAGTACAGGCCAGATGTGCGGGAGGGTGAGAGGATTCACCAGAGAAAGAGCGGGGAACAGAACAGGCAGATTGACTAAAATACTTTGCTGAGGGGAGCAGTGGGCGAGACAGGAGAGGTCTGCTACGCCATGTGGGTATCGCTCTGGACTGGCCGGGATCGAACCCGCGCTGCAGAGGCTGCAGACAGCTTCATAGCACTGTGCTTAACAGCCTGCACCACCAGGGAGACCCTTAACTCCTGTTTAACCCTACAGTTACCCTTTGAAGTAGTAGATTGCCTCTTTACAGATTAACAGGATCACCCACACTAGAATTGCAGAGTCAGGATTTGAATCCAGAACCTGGGTTGATCCGATACATCAGCTGACTCAAACTGCATTAAAAAACACCAGTGAAAATAGGGCCAAAGTGGAAAGGAGTGGAGATCCTTTAGATTCAGTTTGGGATGAACCAAATCTCCTGGTTCCCAGAACAACTGACATTTTGGTGACTAATATATGATAAATACTAACGTCTTATGAGGTCCAAAAGTGTTGGGAACAAGTGTTGAGGACATACAAGTACTCTGTGATTCATACATAGTCACATACAGTGTTATGTAAGTATAGCATTCCCCCTTTACAAAGAGTGAAAAATCTGAGGCACAGGGGCCTCCCTGGTGATGCAGGGGTTAAAGTCTCAACAGTATGTAGCTATCACATGAGTTGGATCCCCAGCTAGGGAGCTAACCTACACAATGCAGCAGACCTCTCCTGCCTCCCCCACTGCTTCCCTCAGCAGTGTCTGCCTGTCCTGCTCCCCACTGTCTCTGGTGAATACACACACACACACACCAACCCTCACCACCACCACCACCCCCACCCCCGCCCCAGCACCTCTGGCCTATATACCAGTTCTTCTACACAAAAATAAAATAACTAAAATCTTTAAAAAAAAAAATCCTTTCTAGTCAAGGAACCTACTTTTAAATCTTTTAAACAGTCCTTTAAATATTTATGGCGGGCCTCCCCGGTGGTGCAGCGGTTGATCGCTGGCTTGCGAAGCTGCCCTCAGCCTCTGCAGTGCCGGTTTGATCCCTGGCTGCCTGGCGAGGGTCCCACGTGGCTCACAGACCTCTCCTGCCGCCCACTGCTCCCCTCATCAGTGTATTTTGTCAGTCTGCCTATTCTGCGCCCTGCTCTGGCGCTGGTGAATTCTCTCACCCTCCCGCGCTTCTGACTGTACCCAGTGCTTGTATAAATAAATAAATAAATCTTTAAAAAAATATATTTGTGGCATATTTCTCTTCACAATATACTGATTTTAAAGGGGTGGAAAGGTACATGAAAGAGTGATAATCTTAGAGACATACAGAATAGGGATTGAGATACTTGGATTTATTTAGTAGTTAGCCTAGTATAGACTAGTAATAAGTGATGACTGCTGCTATTGTTACTTTCTAATCTGTACTGATAGTATGTATTAGCTATTATTTAATATCAAGTAAAATTCTTCAGTAATCCTGAAAGACTTTACAATTTCTGGGCCCAAGAGGTTTGTGTTGCAGTCAGTGAAACACACGCCAGAGATGTTGCCTGGGTCTGCTTCCATCACATGCAGACTGGCTGCCACTCCTTCCAGACTCCCCCCATACCACCCAGCAGCAATTCTTAATTTGGGAGTTACTGGCTGCTAGGCCCAGCTCTTCCCTTAAATACCAAGGCACTGATACTTTGGAGCATCCCTTTTAAAAAGCCTCCAGCCCTTCTCTGAGAGAGTGATGAAATCATCAAACACTGAAAACACCACCTAAAGGTAGGCAAAAACAGAATGATTATAAAAAGAGAATATATTAATATAATCTTAGGGCATTTAGTGAACTTAAAATTTGGTTAAAAATCAACTCCAGGGCCTCCCCTGGTGGCACAGGTGGTTGAGCGCAGCGCTGTGAAGCTGTCCACAGCCTCTGCAGTGTGGGTTTGATCCCGGCCAGCCGGTGAGGGTCCCACATGGCGCAGCAGACCTCTCCTGTCTCACCCGCTGCTCCCCTCAGCAGTTATTTCATCAGTCTGCCTGTTCTGTTCCCCACTCTGTCTCTGGTGAATCTTCTCACCCTCCCGCGCATGTGGCCTGTACCCCGGTTCTTGTATAAATAAATAAATAAATCTTTATAAAAAAAAATCAACTCCAAAGGTGGTACCTGTTTCCCAGCATGAGCCCTGGGCAGCAGATGAAGTGAAAAGCAGAATCACAGAGAATATCAGCCCTACTAACACATAAAAGGTGCAAATGCTTTCTGATCAATTGTTCAGTCACTTTAGTATGAGTTTCAGTGTGAGAAAAAGCTGTACAGATATCCCTCGAGGATAAAGGCAGACTAAATAGAATTCAGTAACATAGTAAAAGGGTCAGACTTGCCTTTACAAAAAGAGGCCTGGGAGGAGGGAGGGAGAGGGCGGGGCCAGGGGCCAGGATGGACTATGGTGGAGACCCAGGTGACCACACCTGGGGGGAGAAAACCTATATTGTGGGAAAAACAAGGGTGAAAATAATGCTATGTCATAATTTAAAAAAGAAGGTAAAAACATGTCATTGTGAAAGTAGAAATTAATCAAGATTAGATAGTCCTTAAAAATTATGCACATATTTTAGGAGCTAGGGTCACTCCACCAAGACTTTGCTTTGTCACATTTTTTTCATCTTGGAAATTTAACACCTGGGACTTTCTAAAAAACTGCATTCTATACATCAGCAGCCGAATGTTTATGTTCACTAACTTTATGTGATTTTAGTTTTTATTAAGTAATTTCACTGATGAGAGAAATAAAAGAAGAGGCAATCGAAAAAAGTCCTTGTTTCTTAGAGAAGAAATGGAGTTTAGGATATAATTATTATATAATTTTTTGAAAGAATGTTGATGATGCCACAGCATAAAAGTGACCTCAAACTGAGAACTTCCGTGTACTTCTTACAAGTTCGTGTGCTGTATAGACGCACTCTAAATGGTTAAAAGCCAAGGCAGGGGGAGGGGACTTTTAAATGTTTGGGTTTGTTCTGGCATTTCTATTTTTTTTTTTTAATTCAGAGGCCTGTGTGTGCTGGTGTCAGGTGTGCCCGCCTGGCTGTGGGGCATGTGCTCCTTGCGGAGCACACTAGTGCTCCGTCTAGTCTAGTGTCCGGCTGGAAAGAGCTCTTTCTCTGGCAGAGTAGCTTCCATTCTAGTCACCAGGAGCTGGAGGTGTGTTTACTGTCCCTTTCTCATCTTTTTAAATGCGTGATCTTCAAACTTTCTCCCAACTACTTAATTCTCTTGCTTTAGTTTCTCCACACCAACCTTCCCATGTGTCCCGGTCATCATCCTGGATAGCCCGTTTTCCTGCCACAGTGTGCTCGTCATGTCGCCCTCCCTCCTCTGCAGGGAGATAACTAAATTTACTGCCATTACGGATTCCCAATTCCCTGCCTGCTTTTTAAGGCCAGGTTTCCCTTATTTTCTCCAGCATAAATATGTTCCAGCTGCCCTATACATTGCTGCTGCTTATCCTATGTTCTTTTTTACCTGGCATCTCTGCTCACAATCTTTAATCCTGCTCCAGGCCCACTGTCCTCAGATGCCCTCCCCAGGTCCCACCTGTGTGTAGAATAAGCCCCACATGTAGTCTAAGTACTAGAGACCAAAGGTGACTCTAATGACCCCTGCTCCCAAGGAACCTTATTTCCCGCCATTCTCCCTGGTTTTTATTTAGCTACACTGACCTGTTTTCTTCCCTCAGACCTGCCAAGCTAGTCCCCATCTTCAGAAATGTATACTTGTTGTTCCTCTGCTTTACGATACCCCTTCCTCTACATCTTTGTGCTTCATCCATGACATTATGCAAGTTACAGCTTGTTAAAGATCATTAAACAGGGACAAGGCCTACCCTCACAATGCCATCTTAACTAAGCACTCTGCTGTGTGCTCATGGTGGTGGTCTTTGGATTATTAATCCATGCCTGCCTCCTGTCTTCTGCCTTTAGAGTGTAAGCTCCTGAGGGCAGACCCTCTGTCTTGCTGACCATAGTATTCCCAGCACTCTGAACATGCCTGGCACACAGTAGGTATTTGTTGACTGACATGTCTACACATCACACTTGGCCATGAGAATGATGGTTCCGAATCCTGAACATCTAGGCGAATGACATGTCCAGTGTTAGAATAAGCTACTGGTGACTGCTAGCAGGTCAGTTTCCACTTACGTGCTCTTTATATTCTCATTAGACCTGCTTAGCTGTCCTTGAGTTTTGCCTCACCCATATGCTGCTCAGAGCAGAGTAAAAACTGCCTCCATGTTATGGGTGTGCGCCAAGCTAACCAGGGCCTGGCTTCACTACCACTGCTGCGTGTGCTGAGAGGAGGTGGCAGAGCCATGTTGCTGCTGTGATAGGGCCTGTGACGAGCTGCCCACTCCCAGGACTAAGAGCTCTGTGTATCCTGCCACCCCGGGCCACTCACTCAATCTCTGCTTTTATTTTCTTTTGCAGAGTGGATTTTGGGATTGGATGTGAGCGATACCAGGACAAATGCCGAATGCTTAAAATTCTAACTTTTCCCTTTTTCTTAGATGTGAACGGTTAGAAGAACAACTAAATGACCTAACAGAACTCCATCAGAATGAAATCTTGAACTTGAAGCAGGAATTGGCCAGCATGGAAGAGAAAATTGCATATCAATCCTATGAACGGGCCCGGGACATCCAGGTTAGCATAAAAGGGTCAGGTGTAAAAGCAAAAGATGAACGCCAAGTAGAATGATGGGTGCCACAGGATGGGGAGAGAGGAGGGTTCTGGGAGTGGTTATTTAACGGGTACTGTTGTAGTTTTCTCAGATGAAAAGAGCTACAGAGATGGATGGCGGTGATGCTCACACAACATGCTGAGAGTATTTGTTCACTGGTCTGTACACTTAAAATTGACTAAGATGGGGCCTCCCCGGTGGCGCAGCGGTTGAGCGTTGGGTTGCGAAGCTGCCCGTGGCCTCTGCGGCACCGGTTCGATCCCCGGCTGCTCCCCGGCCACCGGAGGAGGGTCCCACATGGCGCGCAGACCTCTCCTGCCGCCCGCTGCTCCCCTCAGCAGTGTACTTCGGTCCTTCTGCCTGCTCTGCTCCCCGCTCTGGCTCTGGTGAATTCTCTCACCCTCCCATGCCTCTGACTGTACCCAGTGCATGTAAAAACAAAACAAACAAACAAACAAATAAATAAATAAAACATGCCTCTATAAAAAAAATATATTAAAAATAAATAAATAAATAAAATTGACTAAGATGGTAAATTCTATGTGTATTTTATCACAATTTAAAAGAAGAAAAGGGGCTTTCTAACACTTGCTACAACATGGATGAATCTAGAAAACACAGCCAGTCACAGAAGACCACATGTTGTTTGACTCCATTTACGTGGAACATCCAGAACAGGCAAATCTATGGAGACAGAGGCAGATTAGCAGTTGCCAGGAGCAGCAGGGAGGCGGAGGGAGTCTTAGCTAAGGGGTTCTTTTTGGGCGAAGAAAATATTCTGGAATCTGATAGTAGCAGTGGCTGTAGTTGCACAACATTTTGAATTTACTAAGTGCCACTGCATTGTACACTTTAAAACAGTCAGTTTTGTTACATGTATTTTAAAAAAAGCTTTAGGGAAAAAAAGATAGGATAGAGTCGCAAGAAACTTATGCCAACTAGAATGTACCTGTTGTTCAGTGAGGTACACGTCTCAGAAAAGGATACCATCTGGAGGCAGCGTGCCTGCTTGGGTTCACGGGAAATGTAGTCTCAGTGTATGGAAAACCACACACATCATGTCTGCTGGTTGTGCTTCGAGAGCTCCTCCAGCATAGCCCTTGGCCTTCTGGCCCACCTTCTCCTTTGTGTTAAAGGAGGCTTTTGCCCTTGCTCCAAACCAACCTTTTACAGGCATATTACCCAGCAGTTTGTGAAAATAATACGTGCGGCAATGATGTTAAAGCTAATAGCCTTCTAGTTTATTCTATGGGGAAATGAAGTATTTAACTTTTTCTCATCCCAGTTGGGAGGTATTTCTAAGGATACAGTTGGTGGTTTCATATGACAGCATCTTGAAATAAACTAGTCTTTAAGCAGGGAAGCGGTCCAGGAAACTTGGATGACAGCGGCATAGAAGAATGAAGGGAATGTCTAGACCATTTGCCCAGCTGCCATCTTCTCCAGGCCCTGGAGTTCTGTTTATGTTTTAGCTTTTCCTCAAAATTATTCTGAGCTGGGAGTATCGATTTTTTGTTCATTTTCTAACTAGCTTCTGTCAAAAGTTGCCTGGCCTTTGCCTCAAATCCCAGGAAACTTGGACCCATTGAAACCAAGGCCAGAAAAACTCAGGCTCCCACCACTGCTGAACTTTGAGGGATAGCTGACCATAGCTGGGGAAGTAGGTTCTGTCCTCTGAATGTTACAGTAAATTTCATATGAACTCATGGGTTAAGGTCATGGCGCTTGAGAGAAGCAAGCAGTCCCTTGTAGCTTTGGTGTAGTGTTTGGAGGGTGAACTATTGATCAGAGAAGAACCCTTTCCACTCACGTCAGGGAATTACTTGACTTAGAAAACACCAGTGAGTGTGCACAAATATGTCCAAAGAATGTTTGCCTCACCGTCGTTAGAGTGGAAAAGTTGTAAATGACCCAAATCTCTCCAGTAGCGAGCTGTGTCTCTGCTATCAGATGCTGTGTGGCAGTTAAAAAGAAAGACATGGATCTCTATGTATTGATATGGAGAGATTGCGAAGAACCGCTATTGAGTGAAAACAGCAAGCTGTTGGCTCGTACAGTATGATAAGGTGTGTCCTCAAACAGGTGAAAGATGGCACATGACAAAACCACAGTGCCACTTCAATGGCAGGGACTAGAATTGAAGAAAATAGCAAGACTGTTCTATTTGAATTTCCTTATGTTGAACAAGTATGTGTGTCCTGTGCAGCTTACCAGTTTTTAAAAGAAAAAATTATGAGAGGTCTGATTAGAATGTTCAGAACCAAATCTGAGTGTGGCGACTGCCTCGTGTGAGCCTTCCCACAGCAGTGCCATGGAGGAGAGTCTGGTGAGGGGCCTCTCGCAGTCAGGGCTGTGGCATACTTTAAGCCTTTGGCATAAGCTCAGGATGCACCTGCCTCATGCGAGGGGCGTGTCAGCTGCTCACAGTACATGGGAGCAGAAGCCTTAACTCTTCCTTGTTCTGGCCCACAGGAGGCTCTGGAGGCGTGCCAGACCCGCATCTCCAAGATGGAGCTGCAGCAGCAGCAGCAGCAGGTGGTACAGCTGGAAGGGCTGGAGAATGCCACTGCCCGGAACCTTCTGGGCAAACTCATCAACATCCTCCTGGCAGTCATGGCAGTCCTTCTGGTCTTTGTCTCCACGGTGGCCAACTGCGTGGTTCCACTCATGAAGACTCGCAACAGGACGTTCAGCACTTTATTCCTTGTGGTTTTCATGGCCTTTCTCTGGAAGCACTGGGACGCCCTCTTCAGCTACGTGGAACGGTTCTTCTCCTCCCCCAGATGATGCTGGCGCAGAAGGCAGTGCTCCCTCCCCTCTGGCGAGTGCATGCAGCGGAGCATTAGGCAGCAACTTACCTACTCTGAAGTTTTCTACAACAAAAAAGAGTTGAGTGAATCTGTTTACATTTAGAATAATGTTTTTTTTCTTCAAGAGACGCAATTGCAATAGTATTTTTTAGATTTTATCCAAGAAGTTTTTTGGGCAAAAATCTTGGATCATTTTTATGTAGCATGATTTCCTTGGGATGCAAATCTTAAATAGTCCTTTAACATGAACCACCAATCTGGAGCACACCGAAGGACATTCTAAATTGTGGCTTGAAGGACTGCACTAAAACCCACTAAAAAGATGCGAAGACCTGATTAGGGAAACCCGTTCAACCTAGCACCCTGCCTTGTCTGGGCCCACCACCTCTCCCTCCAGACTGACTTTACTGTGAAATCCTGCCACATTCCATGTCTGAATCTTTGGATTCAGGGTGGATTTCCCTTGTCCATGGAAGAAAACATGGATCTCCCTGGCTTTCTCACCCGCGCTGGCCATTCATGCTAACCGTTGGAAGTACCATCACTTTCGTAGCTGGTCCCTCAGCCTTGGCTGGGACACAGAAGTGAGAGCATCATGCCCCAAAGGATCACTGCACAGGTCTGCGACAGTATTTGGAAGTAGCCCTCTGAATACTTCATTAAGCGAAATCCCTTGGCCGCACTTTGAAGATTTTTTTAAATGAGTTTAGTCACCAACTTAAAAAACAAAAATCCGATCAGCATACTTGAAGAATGTAATACTCAGACTCTCAGTGCTTCCTTACGGTTTCTAATAGGATTTTTTATTATTGTTATTATCATTATCGGGTTTTTTTGGAAAGGGTTGGGAGGGTCTTTTATTTTTCCTTTGAAATAAAGAAGTGATGTTTTTAAATGAAGAGATGTGTGGATATTTAAGTGTGCTGCTCCCCTTGTCTTGAGTCAGTTTGAGTAAAGGAAGATTTGCTGTAAATGCTGCCCTCTGACGCCTTTGTTTTGAGATGCAGCTTAAACTTCCTCTTCTGGCTGCTGCTGCTGCTGCTTTTTGGTGTCCTGCCACCCCCACACCACCACCTTATGGGCTTGGCTTGGTTGGAGAGGAAAGGGGTGTGCAGGGAGAGGGGGAGCCTGCTTCCACAAACCAGCATGAGAGGACAGAGATTGTTTTGCCTCACGAAAATGTTCACCCAGTGACTTTGGGCTGGGGTTGTCTTTAGGAAAAGTTGAGACTATATGAGAATCGTAAGTAATTCCTGTTGTTTTCTTAATTTATTTTTTAACACCCCCTAATGACTGAAACCAAAGTAATGTGGAATCTGCTGTCTGCATTTTGGCCCCAGCATCCTTAATTTCAAAGCTTTATTCTGTTTACCTGAGAGAATCAACCGAAGGTGATTCTCTAAAGAGCAGAAAAGGAAACATCAGGTTGGTTAGAAGGAGCCAAGGCTTGGGGTGTGAGATGCTGTCCGCTTCCTAGTCATTCAGACTGACTTATTAACATAGCTGTGCGCAGTGGACTTCTACAGACAAGTTTAGGAAAATGGACTGGGCCTTCTCCCCCCGCCTGGAAACAGGGCCTTCTCCACCATCCTGGTAGAACGACGGGCTCTTACAGTTTATCTAGAAAGCGTGGTTAATCTTTTCATACTCATGGTCATGAATCACAAATGCTGTTTCCTCTTGGCCTCAGTTCAAGGGATGAGCAACCAAGAGATGAGCAAGGGGCACATAGTCTGCCCTGGAAGGAGGGGCAGAGCGTGCTTTGCCTCCTGCCCCCAAATCAGGAAATTTATTTGGAGCTGGATTAGCATTGCCTTCTCTGTCCGGGAGGACAGGCCACACGTCAGCTCCGGCCTCCTGTGGCTTTGGCAGGCTGGCCTTCTCAGAGCCAGCATGTTGTTTCCATAATCATTTTGGTATTTTAACTCAGGTACCCCAGTTTTCACTCCACCCCCAGATGATTGTAGTACACCTGTTAGCTCTCAAAATTAGTACCCAGAGCAGGAACCATAGGGGTGATTTTACTTCTAAAAAGTAATTGGAACCAATTCATGTTTGGGCCAAAAATCGTCCCCAAACCTACATATTTAAAATGTTAACTTTGCCTAAAAATATCGCAGTGACTTGAGACAGGAGTGCCTGGTGACACCACCACATTGTTGAACCGGCACCACTTGTCCTGACTTTCTGCTTTAGCTTGATTGCTCAGAGCAAGAAAGAGAGCCCCCCAGTTACTGAAAAGGTGCTCTAGCCACAGTCCTCCAGCTTCGCTAAGAACCTTGCGTGTCCCCTAAACTGCACAGAGGTTGCTAAATTTTTGAGGGCACTGAAAGTCACTGTGATATGTATTGAAATTGCCCCCATTTGCCTTGGGGGCAGTTTCTACCAAAGGAAGGTTTTAACCTCTGGAAAGCCCCCCCCCCTGAGCTCCCAGCCAAACAGGCCCACGCTAACTTTCCACCTTCCTCTCGAACTGTCTGAGGAAGGACCTTCAGTCTAGGCCGAGCGCAGCAATGGCTTCCTAGCTCGCTCTTTCGTTCCCGGGTGACTGACCAGGCCCAACAGTTGTCTGCATTTAATGCTGTTTGTAACCATGCACCTGTTCCCATGCTTCCCCCACACCCTGCTGCCCATATCTGTTTGCCTTTGAGTTTCTTTGCGTTGTGGCTGTTCTTGAATTCTCTTTGTCTATTCATAACTCGTCTATAACCTCCCTCTCATGGTGTAATGATTGTTCTGTGGGTGGAAATTTACCCTTTCTTGAATGCTTCTTCTCTTTTAAAGACTTGCATTCCCTTTGAAATGAAGCATTCCTGGATTACTTGTTAGCACTGGTGCGTGAAGCTGGCTGTGGTACCCTGGGTGATTAATATTTTACCTTTTTAATGATATAATTGAAGGGCACATCTGTCTGCTCCAAATTCAATTCCTTAATATATACTCAGTGGATCCTAGCAAGGAAGGCTTTCTACTCCACTGCTCCTAAAGAAGCAAAAGTAGGTTAAATTTTATTCTTCACTGGCTGGGGTCTTCTCTCTCCTCTCTTACCCCCTCTCCTCAATTGAGGTAAAAGTCTGATACCAAGAAAAATAGTGGGATTAAGCCTTCCTTGCTAGCCATGTCCTAAAAATGGTCATATTTTCATGTGGTCTTTGCTGCATTTGGTTTTGTTTCTGATTTCATACCCCTTTGAGGTACAGTCAGAGGACATGTCAAGCTCCCAAGTGAGTTCTGGTGAAGAGCTGCCTTTCAGCTTTGGAAAATATGCATCTACAACAAAACCAAATACAACCAACAATCTGACACAGGCAAAATTATGGTTCCCACCCCCAAATGAAACTGGGGATTTTTGAATGTGGCTCTAAGAGTTAACACTTTTGTCTGTGTGTTGTGTATGCTAGGTGATCCCCTCAGTAGGATTGACTACTAGACTGTGTGTTTTATCAAAGTGTGTAAGAATAAAAACTCACTTGCACGAATTGAAAAGTACAGAAATGACACTTGTGAACGTGTGAACATTAACACTGTAGTTGATAGATCTTAAGCTGCTAATTGTCGAGAGAGAATTACATTTATGTTTGGTCTGGTTGCTGCAGATTCTCAGCAGCACTTTTACTGTACATACGAATTGAAATAAAGACCTCAGCTATTAACGAGGTGGTTGGACTCGGGTTTGTTTGCTCTTTATTTTCACATACTCAGTTCCTGGTGACAAATTTGTCAGTCTGAAGACTTTACTCATTGTACATGAGAAAGTGTGTGCTGTGTGTGCTGTGCGTGCATGTGTGCTGTATGTGTGCGTGCACGCGTGTGTGTGTGTGCATGTGTGTGTGTGTGTGTGTGTGTGTCTGACTACTATCTGAAAGCCGTGACTGACAACTGGGCAGCCGTCATTGTCTGCCTGGAGCTTATCCATATCATTTCAGACTGTCACTTTGCCACAATTCCTTTAGACTAGGTGAGACTGCCATTTAGTTCTTCGGAGGGGCGTGGAGGCAGTCCCCCCAAATTCAGCATCTGATGAACAGTCCCTGCCCATTCTTACAATGCTTTCTTAAACTGCTGCGATGGATGCACAGACATAGTTTGTAAAACCCTTAGCATTAGAGCTCTTTATATGCATAAGGGATTACTGTCCTGCCCAGTCCCATCTGGCTTTGTTACAGGGGTTGTAATTTCCATTGTGACTTTTCCTTGATCTCTGAGAGGCCTTTGAGAATCCCAAAGCTCTAATCTTATCTCTGACACGTACCGTACCGAGTAGGGTCCTGATGATTTGTTCCTTCACAGCCCAATCCAAATGGGCTGTTTGGGCCACACTGCGGCTCACTAGCTCTGTGCCTCTCACCCGTCATGATCCTGCCACATAGATGTTGTGAGAGGAAATGTATAATTTCATGCCTGCTTTCATCTAATGTTTTGGGGAGCTAGAGACTGGTTACATAGATCTGAGATCCCACGAGATTGCCCTTAAGCTTCCCGAAGTGTAGACGGAGCTGCCATGTACAGTTTGCCAGCCTCAAGGACTCCCCGTAAGCAGGACACACTGCAGGACACATCCTCGTGGTGTATCCTGAGGCCCACAGAGCAGCCCCACCTAGATGCTACATCGTCTCAAAACTTGCCTTATTTGGAGAGTGGAAGACTAGACAGGAGTCTGGAAAGCTGGGATGTAGAAGGCAGATGGGTGAGGCAGGGGAGGCTATGGCCAACTGGAAAACAGGCCTCATCTAAAGGATTCACATACGTGGTTTAAACTCAATGTCTAAGCACCTAGGCAATGGTGGCCCCAAGTCTAGGTAGTGAAGAGCAGCCAGCACTTACTGAGTACTTACTGAATACCAGATGTGATGCTTCTGCTTGACATGCCGCAGCCACTTCATACTCCCCACAGGCTGCCACAGCGGTATCCTCCGTGTCTGCGGGAGGAGACTGAAGCCTGGGTTCACACACAGCCCTCTGGTTAGGAAATGGTGAGTGAGTGTGATAGGAAATATGCTGAGGGCCTCCCTGGTGGTGCAAGGGGTTAAGACGCAACCTATGGAGCTATCCGCAGCCACTGCAGCACGAATTCCATCCCCAGCCAGGGCGTTACTCACATGGCACAGCAGACCTCTCCTGTGTCACCCGCTGCCCCGCTCAGCAGTGTATTTCAGTCAATCTGCCTGTTCTGGTCCCCACTCTGTCTCTGGTGAATCCTCTCACCCCCACATGTCAGGCTTGTACCCCGGTTCTTGTATGCATAAATAAATAAATCTTTAGAAAAAGAAAAAAAAAAAAGGGCCTCCCCTGGTGGTGCAGTGGTTGAGCGCTGGGCTGCGAAGCTGCCTGCGGCCTCTGTAGCTCCAGTTCTATCCCTGGATGCCGGCGAGGGTCCCACATGGCGCGACAGACCTCTCCTGCCGCCCGCTGCTCCCCTCAGCAGTGTACTTCTGTCCTTCTGCCTGCTCTGCTCCCCTCTCTGGCTCTGGTGAATCCTCTCACCCTCCCGCACTTCTGACTGTACCCAGTGCTTGTATAAATAAATAAAAAAATATATATATGTTGGTGCAACATTATGACGAAAGATGGTGTCTGTGACACGGAAGTGAAAGAGTTACACTAAGAAGAAAACAATCAACTCAGCGGAAAAATGGGTAAAGCTTATGTGGAAATCGTTCACGGGAAGAGAATGACTCACCAGTAAGTATTCAAAGGCAAGCTTCCAGCTTCATGTAAATCAGCATATCAAAGGGGGAGAGGCCATGTGGGATAGTACGTGCGCCCCCACTCGTGTGGAGGATATTTGTGTTGGTGTAAGAGATGTAAGCAGATACATAGAAACTAAACTGCACAGTAAATTGTGCCCGGCGGATGCCTGTGGCAGAGGGGCCAGGAGGGTGAATCGGCGGTTACGGCT